AATGAATGAATGATATTGTTGATATTGATTTGTAAATTGTAGAGAGTAGAGTATAGAATGAGAGATTGATATTGATATTGATAACAAATTTAGTGGGGAAAAAAATATTGTAATGGGTCGGTATTTATAGGGGAAGAAATTAGAAAAAGGAAGGAAAAAAAATAAAAATAAAAGTGACCAAGCGGACACATTTTGACTTTTTAATTTTTTTGCTCGTGGCTTGTAATAAACGATGAGGCTCGTGGGCTCGTCGAAAAGAGCCGCTCTGCGAGCTGGCTCGTCTAAATGAAATGTGCTCCAGCTCGTGCTCCGGCTTGTCTTTTTGAAGAGCCAAAGCCGGCTCAGACTCGTTTTTGGCGAGCCGAGCGGTCGAGCCGATGAGCTGCTCGACTCGATTGCCCCCTCCACTTAAAGCTTGCATGACTTGATGTCATCAATTGGTAATATGCCCAATAATGCTAAAGGATTGTTTACATTCTAGTTGATATTCCCCTTACGTGATACAATTTAGACAATGATGTGAAATGTTGTTGGAGAAATCAAAGGAGATGATTGGGCGATGTGGAAAGAGTATAAACTATGATATCAGTAGAATGTACATGTAAAAATAATTATGTTAGTTGTACATTTTTGGGTTATATTGTGGATGACATGCCCATACGTGGATGAAATTTGACCATTCATTGAAAAAATGTTGTGTTAAAATTAGTGCACAAAAAGTTGTCACCTCATACCATGTCAAATTTAATGTACACATAGCAAAATTGTATTAAAAAAATAGTAAATATTTTTAATACTGTAAAAATAACATAAAAAGTGACAACTCGTGAGAACTAGTTTATTAAAAAATATATACATTTATACTACTTTTATCTCAAAAGAAAGTAAAAATAAAAAACAAAAGAGATCATCCTTATTATTCGATACATAGAAAATGCAAAAATATCGACCACGACATCTAAGAATCATACTAACAATAAATTGATACAGTTGTACACAGCTTGCTTTCATACACGTAAATATAGAACTTAAATTTTTCGAACATGTTACATGTATATCATGTTTTACATTGTGCCACGTGACAATAAATCATTGGACAGTTTAAAATTAAACAATTTTTCCTCTAATAATCTTTTAACACCACATCAAATGTCAACAAGGATGTACACTTGGAGTGTACATCTAACATTATTCTAAATTCTTTATATAAATATTCAGAAATTAGTAGTGCTTTGTTTTGTTGTGGTGCTAAGGATAGGATGGAAGTAGTAAAGACTAAATAGTGTATAGTCAACTCTGATTTTTGTTTAAAAGGCCTATTCTCAATAATTTTTCGTTAAAGATTATAAAAATAATCTTGAAGGTATACTTTATAAGTTGAAAATTATGATTTTTCATTATTTTTCAGTTGTTTTCTACGTCAAGATTATAGAAAAATCAATTGGGTGAGCACAATAAGTAGTACAATATAAAAATAGAATGATGCTGCTTTTATGAAGCCGGATGTCATTTTTATAGGTGGGTGCAATCTTTAAATTGTTAATGGTATTGTTGATGTTTATTTTGCAAATTAGAGACGTCTCCACCGTTTAACTATATCATAACATTTTAAACTAATTTAAATGGCAATTACCCATTTTAAACAATAAAATGATGTTTCTATCTATTTGACTATAATTTGTTCATAGTGATAGATAGATGGCTACACTGGTTGAATGCAATATTTAAATTGTGATGGTTTTTGATATATTTTGTTCAGGTAGTTGAATTAATCTTTAAATCATGCTCATCAGGTTATTGACTGTTTTGGTGTTCTCCAAAACTGCACGCGGTTGATTTAAACAATTGCGTCCTTTCAACTAATTCTATGCATGTTCAACTTTATAGTACCTCATAATATCCTAAAAATGAAAACACGTTTTCACTTCTTTTGAACACCACGATCAATAAAAAACTCACACTGTAACGACCAACATGTGTATCTCGTGAATAACTAGACTACACTAAGAACAAATTAACTAAATTTGAATAAATTCATCTAGATGAGATAACGCAACTCAGTACTTTAATTCGTTTAACTTATTTAAGTCTTCTACGATATTTTAAAATATAATCGAGGAGTTTTGAAGTGAATTCGAGAGCTTGTGCTCCAAAACGGCATGTAGTCGAATCAAATAGCTGGATATCATTTTAACTACTTCCGTGTCAATTTGACTTTATATTCCCTCTTATGATCATAAAAATCAATGAAGACACATTTTCACTTCCTTTGACACTACAATCAATATAATGTACACACACTATTATGACTAATAAGTTTGTCTCGATATAAAGTTCACGCTATTATGTCTATTACGTTTGTCTCGTGAGTAAACTATATTAGACTAGAAATGAAGTTAATTCAAATTCTATTAAATTGTCTAGATGGGATATGAAACTCATCACTTAGCTCGTTTAGTTTAATTAAATCTTATATGATATTTTAAAATAGGATCGACGGGTTTTGAAGTGAAATCGAGAGCTCATACTCCAAAACGGCTTATAGCCATTTTAAATTGTTGGGTTCCGTTTAAATTAATTTCATGTCCATTTGAATTTATATTCCCATGTATGATCATAAAAATGAATGAAGACACACTATTACTATCTTTGAACACAAAGGTTGATATAAAGTTCTTACTATAATAATCTACGATTGTGTCTCGTGAGTCACTATATACACTAGGAACGAAACTAACTCAAGTTCTATTCGGTTCGTCTAAATGAGGTAGCAAAACTCAATACCTTGGCTTGTTTAACTTGGTCAAAATTCTACGATGTTTCAAAATACAATCAACGAGTTTTGAAGTAAAATCTAGAGCCCATGCTCCAAAATGGTATGCATCCAGTTTGAACGGTTGGCTTCATTTTCACCTAATTCCATATTTTGTGAAGTCCAG